TCATTCAGGGTTGAGCCCTGCTGGCAGACAAAAAAAAATGCCCATTAGAAAGCGTAGGGAACATCCCCTCCTCGTAGCTTACCTTCCTATAACAGATCCAATCCCCTTGGTCTCCATGAAAGCCATTGCTTACCTACTGAAGAAAAAAAGGGGAAAAAAAAAAAAGGAAAAAAAAAAAGGTTGTCCTTTTACTTGTTTTACATCTTTAAAAACTAAGCCTCCCCATCAATGATTTTAAGTGGTTTGTTTCCTTCTTAAATGTCTGGAAAAGTTGGAAACAAAAGAAAATGTAATTGTCCATGGTTTTTGTCAAAAGTTTTTTGATACCGAATTGTATCAGTTTGAATGGAAGTGACTGAAAAAGTATATACCACCCATCCATGGGACTTTTGCTGTCATTTTTCAGAAAAAGAAGGTCGCCCTGAGCAGCACCAGTCACACACAGCTTGTCAACCACCCCCACAAGGGATTAAGTTCCACTGCGACCAGGTTTTAGAAGGAGAACCAAGCAGAACGGATTACCAGATGCTCTGATGCCCAAGGTACTTTTCTTTAAACTTACATGAGTTTATACACTGGATAGCTCTGGGGATGAAATGCTAGAGATAATGACATCAGAAGACATTTGTTAATACGTTGGAGACTTTTTTCAATTGAGAAAAGGTCATGGTATTTCAAGTGACAAATAAGTATCTCTGTATATACTGAATGGATTGTGAAGTATATTGTATATACTGTGTCTGAAATGCAAAACATTTGTTCATTTTCATTCCTAATAAATGACTTTGTTTAAAAAAAGTATATATATATATAGAAGGACAGGGAATTAATGCATTTCATGGCTCTAGAAAGAAATCACTGCATCTACAGAACTGGCTAGTTATCTCAGCTGGTTTGTGCAGTCCAAAAGCAGAAGAGACTACTCAATACGCTTTCAGGTTTTATTTACTGCCAGCTGTTCAGAGAGCAAATACAGCTTGCAGTCTCTCCAATAAAGGGAGATATGATTTTCTAGTAAAAAAAAATTATAAATGAAAAAAAAAATGAGAAATTACACATCATTTAAGGAATATATTTTCTTTGCTATATCTTGCCATTATAGTTCACAGCTGAAATTACTTTTGTTGTTATTAGAGCTGACCAGGCCAGTTTATTTAACATTTTGGGATTGAAGGAAGTGTTTTGTTTATTTATTTAATGAATAAGTTCTCATCCAATTGAAAAAAAAAAAACCAACCATAAGTGCAGGCCTATTACTCCCAGACCTTTCAGGTGCTAAGTCATTGCATTTCTACTGTAAAGAAAATTGAATTTTTGTAATCAATGGGCACTGGGCACACAGGAGAAAATTATGCTTTTGGTTTGAGGCTAATTCTGCATGGTGCTGGGAGTTCCCAGCACCCCCAGAGGCTTTCTCAGCCTTGTCACAAGCAGAAGTGCTGAGTCTGGTTTTTAGCTGTGTAATACATACCAGGGCGAACAAGTTTTGCAAGTGTCAGCGTTGTAAAGAGCCAAACCATAATCATGGTGAATGAATACAATAGACAGGTAATCTGAATTCTATTTGTTTCCTAAGCTTGTACAACATTGTCAGTATAGCTTCTGGTCCTGGCTTCCAGCCTCCCAGTTTCCTGCTTCCCCTTGCTTTAGATAACAACAAATTGAATAGAAATTGTTGATAATATTACAAATGTATGCATTTTTACTAACTTCACTATTGCCATCAGCTCATTGCCCTTATGCTATCTAAGGGGACTGCCTTGTTCTAGATAAATAATGTTTCTGAATATCCGATGTTACTGAGCTGTTGATTTCTCCCTCCAGGACCTCATTTAAGCATGAAAAAGAATGGGTTGAGGTTTTTGCAGGTTTTGTGGTACAGTACGTTTGCAAATGTGTTTCAAACTTAAAGCATCTCATGTCATTTATTGCTTTTTCACTGTTTTACATTTCTTGCTATGATCAGGCAAACTTATTCTTAGATTGTGAATGACCTCGACAAAGGTAAAATAGTTCAGCCATTGCCAGGAGAAAGTTGTTGTAATATAAGGCACTTTTTTATTCTTAAATTGTTGTGCCCTATTTTTAACAATTCTGACATGTAAACACTAGCTGTGAAAGGCTGACTTTGTGGGTACCTGCAAAAGAGAAATCCAAGGGCTTGCAGAGGGTGGTGCGGGTGAGTGGCACGAACCCTGTACCTGGACAACACAGTGATGCCACAAATTGGCAAGGCATTGACAGTAGGGAGGAAATCTGTTCTGGTAGTGCAAACAACACAGGAGCGTAAACTTTTTTTCACCTGATGATAATTTATAGCTTTGTGTGAAATGACTTAGGCTGTAATTTCTGTAGCGAGTGGAAACATGCATCCAAGCTCCATGGTGTCTTCTTTTTCCGTTAGCTTTTAGGACTCACTGAGGTTACTCCTCTTGCTTAAAACAGCTTTACAACCCATGTGTAGTCTGTCTGTCCTACACTGCTTGGAAGTGTTAAACTACTTCATGCACACTACCTGGTAGAGCTGTAGCAGGGAAAGAATCCGGTAAATGTGGGACTTACTGCAGGTGTATCACACAATCTGTATTGCGTAGATCAAGCGCTGGATTTACTACTTATCTACAACACTGTACACACAGATATTTCTGTCTGGGAGATCTGAGACAGAAATATGACTGTGCATCGCACTGAAACATCAGAAAAGGAGATAATTGGCAAGGTCTCTGATGGAACCCTAATAAAATAGTGTGAAATAGCCATGTATACATGCCGAAATTAGAATCTCTGAAATAAGAATGTCTATTTTCTGGCCTTCTGTTAATTGTTTGAAAACAACATTAAGTGGCATAACGTAATTATTCAGTTTAGGGTAGCTGCACTAAAGCCCTTAGAAGTTCGCTGTTCTAACATAATGCTGTATTTAATATGAAGTTATTGTAAAATTATAAGCAGCAGACGTAAAGTATCGTGCCATTCATAATACTATATGTTTTCAATGAAGGAACCTCCATGTTTGTCAGACAGATTAGTTCAGCAATATGACTACATCAGCAAAGCGTTATTGAAAAATATTTTTGAGAGAATAGTGACTTAACAAATCCTTTTTTGCCAACTGATTGTCCTGTTTAAATCCCATTGAAATGAGGCTTTCTCTGAAGTGTCCATGTTGACTTTCTATTAAGTGTGAAAACTAATTTGTAAACAGACTGCTAGATGAGAAATCATAAAACAGTGTGACAGGAGCTCTTGGTGAGAACAGGAAAAACATATCATTACAAAGACATTTCTGAGTCTCTTATTCTTGTTAGTAACTCCTTCCTTCACACACTGACAGCTGTTGACCTAATTGTCTTTGGGAATGTCCACACGTGCTGCGGTGCAATACAGTTCATTTATTCCACTGCCCAGCCGTTGTTTTCAGAGAAGTATGGGCACTCTCTTGCATGCTTTCTCTTCAGTGAGCTTGTTTCAATTGAATTCAGTATGGCCCGTAGTCAGAGTCTCAGCATTCTTCACCACAAGTAGCATCTCAGCAGATAACATTAGCAAACCCAGGTCAGAAACCTCTTTTCCATTGAAAAGTGGCCAAACGCATTCATCTGCATTAAGGCTAATCGCATTCAAGCAGCAATTCAGCTGTCCACGTTACGGATACCCACTGACACTTGCAGAGAGCATTGTTTGTATACAAAATACTTAAAACTTTTGACTTCTCCCTTTGAAACAGTGACAGAGTGTATTATGGCATTCAGCAACCCTGACTATGAACAAATGTCCAAAGAAATTTCAAGACTTACTGGTATGAAAGTGTCAAAGCAAGCTGTTTTAAACTTAAAAACAGAGGGAGAATATATCAGTTCTTTAAAAAGGGGGACTTTCAAAATAGCAACTGCATCTGTGTTTCACAAGTGGGGCTATAAAAGCGACAAGAAAAAGTGGGTCTTATTGTTTATGGGTCATATCCGAGCTAAATTAATATCATTCATTAATGAAAAGCCTGAAAAGCCTAAAAAACCTAATCCTTTGGAAAGATTCCTATATACTTTGATGTAGTTTAGACCAGGATCATTATGGAGAATGGAAAATACCATCTTGATGCTGAAATAAACATTTGGTCTTTTAGATAATTGTAAAATACAGACAAAAAAAAAGATTGTACTTTGGATCTTAATCTGCGTTAGAAATATGTTCATCAAATCAAAAGACAGTTTCAATTTAAATGAAAAGGAAGCCTCTTACTAGTATCTAACATGGCTCTAAAAACATCAATATTTACAAATGTTCATGTCTAAATTGAGGGCCTTTCATTTCACCATCAACAGTGTGGTGGCAAACATGTTAATGTCCCGGACAACAGTTTATCTTGGCATTGGTCTTATTTGTATCTAATAATACTGCAAACCTTGTGAGAAATGCCAGACTTTCTCAAAGCAAACAGCTGGGCCAGTAAAGATTGCCAAACTCTTGAAGTCTGTCAGATCAGTTTGAGTAAATGTGGGATGCTCACTGGTAAAGAAAACTACATGTATTTTTTAAAACTGCTTTGAAGCTAAGAGAGAATTTACACTTGACGATGATATATGTGCATTCCATTGCAACGGGCGATATTTCAAATGTCTATTATTGCCATATTTGGTGAAGCTAAAAGAGAATTTACACTTTGTTTTCCTCTAAGGCTCAGTGAAGCCTGGAGCAGCTCTTATTTTATCCCAACCAACTCTGCCTCTCTCTGACGATGATATATGTGCATTCCATTGCAACGGGCGATATTTCAAATGTCTATTATTGCCATATTTGGGTGGTAAATTTCTTCCTGATATTTATGTTTCTACATGTTTTATTATAGGAGAAATTCCAAACGTTTCAGTTAAGTCTTAAAATCACTCCAGATGAAGGAGAAACCCTTCACCAAAAGAAGAATGGTCTGACTGACAGGTCAGCTTCAGAATAAAGCCAAGCCTGAAAAACAACAAGCCAGAATCTTTCCACAACCAGGAGAAATGAGCACTCAGAGACCTTCCAACCTAATCGAACACCCAGGGCAGACAAGCATTCCCTCCCTCGAAAATATAAGTGCTTTCTCCTTAAATGTCACTGACTGCACCCAGGTCATAGTGCCAGAGGAAGTTTTTTTCACTGTTGCTGCTGCTGGAATACTGGAAAATCTGCTTGTCCTTATTGCTGTTGTTAGAAATAAGAATTTGCACTTGCCCATGTACTTCTTCATTTGCAGTTTAGCCGTTTCAGACATGTTAGGTAGCTTGTACAAAACTCTGGAGAACATCTTTATCATCTTGTGCAAAATGGGGTACCTGACACGTCGTGGGGACTTTGAGAAAAAGCTGGATGATGCCATGGATTCCATGTTCATTCTGTCTTTACTGGGGTCAATTTTCAGCTTGTTGGCTATTGCGGCAGACAGATACATCACTATCTTCTACGCTTTGCGGTACCATAATATCATGACGCTAAGAAGGGCCTTGGTTATCCTGGCAATCATTTGGACGTTCTGTGCTGGCAGTAGCATTGCCATTGCCCTCTTCTCCTATGAAGCAGCAACAGTCATTCCCTTCACCATCCTGTTCCCTTTAATGATGTTTTTTATACTGTGCCTCTACATCCATATGTTCCTCCTGGCTCGATCTCATGCTAAAAAGATTGCCGCACTGCCAACTAGCACAGTCCATCAGAGAACTAACATGAAAGGAGCCATTACACTGACTATTTTCCTTGGAGTTTTCCTTTGCTGTTGGGCGCCCTTTGTTCTTCACATCCTTTTGGCAAGGTTTTGCCCACATAACCCTTACTGTGCCTGCTACATGTCCATTTTCCACGTGAATGGGACGCTTATCATGTGCAATGCAATCATCGACCCTATGATTTTTGCATTCCGAAGCCCAGAATTACGGAATACATTTAAGAAGATGTTCTGCTCTGCTAGGTCAAACTGGAACTGGTAAACACTTCACGAAAAATGAAGATTATAGAAGCAGACCTATTGGGTACTGTGCAACATCAGTTAAAAATACCAACCTTTATGCCCAAAGTAACACTGTGTTTGTAGGATACTGCCAGTGATTTTCAGAGGGCTACCAAAGAGTGCATAAAAACTAAGTATGCGTACAATCCGTGCCAACAAGACCTCCAGAAATATTACTGATTAAGTTAATTCCACCGACAATTTTCATGCGAGTAAAAAAATAACTGTATCTTAATTATCTTTTGTCATTTCAGAAAAATTCAAATATAACTCTTCTGCACCAGGTATTGCATTACCCCGGAGGTCAGTTTGTGGCAACTCATTTTGTATCAGTAATTTCAATTTAAGGTGTATAATACTTTAAAATTCTGTTGTTTAAACCACAATGAAATCAACATTTGTTTCTAAACTGCACATTTATATAAAGGTCTATGATAAAGTAGAAAATGTGGACATGTAGTCGGATTTTGCTGGAAAAGTGAATTCATGACTGTTCTTTAACATCTATTCTCCTTAAAATCACCCAATTAGTGCTCTCTAAGTTTCAAAAATAATTTTTGGAGGTGAGTCCAAAAGAGAAGATATTTTGGTTTGAAAGCCATTTTTAGTGACTGAACAGTTTTTTCTAACATAAAGTTGCTGTGGCAGCAAAGACAGGTTTTGAATTTTAAAACCCCAAAGCTAGGTCTGGACAAGTAAAGGGAATTGCTGAGCTTGCCAGGTCCCCATTGGAAGTCCCTGGGCCAGTTTGCTTTAATAAAATAACAAGCTTCGCAGACAATAAAAGAACTTTGATTCAGCCATGACTTTCTAAACGTGCCACAACCAAGAATTCAAAAAACAAAATACCAGAGACAAAATTCAAGGACCTCCAAGGAAGTCAATCACCTGCATAAGGAATCAGTTAGCCAGTCTGGCAGGGCGCCACAAAGCAGTTTGTAATTTACAAAATCCTAGTGAGAAAATTCTGAATTGTCCCTGCCAAAATAATACAAAACTCACAAAACTTTAAGGCAGAATAGCTTTCAACAGCAAAACATCCTGACGCAGTCTGGAGCATATGGTGAGGAATTAACTTCACAATAATTCAGTGGAGTTTTTCAGCTGTGCCAGAGAGAGAATACTTAGTAAGAGACAACCATGAAACTCAGAAACCCAAGGCATGGCTAGAAGAAGGAGGAAAGGAAAAGATCGAACCTGTTAGAATTCATAGGTAAATAGAAGAATTTGCTCTGATGGAACACCAAGAAAAACAGGAATTTCAAGATATATGGAATATGGACCAAACCATACATATTTAGGTGGACTTACAGACCAAGTTGTAAGAAAGGGACAATAAACCTGAAAGCCTCTATAGAACTAAGCAAAGAAAATATCTTAAATGAGAAAAAAGATACTAAAATGAAAGTTTTTCAAACCTATATATTACAAAACCAGTTTTATCTATAAAATACAAGTTCAGAAGGGAGTTCAGATATAATCACACGTTTTATTTTAAAGAGAATTTTTTCCTTTCCATCAAAAGCAGACCAAATGTAAAGCCACATAGCAAGAAATGACTGAGACACCTGAAAAAAAAAAGAAAAAAGTTATACAATATTAAAGACAAGGCAAAACAAAAGACCTACAGTACCATAATACCCTGTGCACACAGTCGATGAGCTTCGAAATTATAAAAAATATTGGACAGAAAATTGTGATCTAGGAAGCCCTTAAGTTAACTCTGCAACACACGAAATATCTACTAAATACACCGTCCCACAAACCTTTGTTTTCCATCCACTTTCTGAAAGTAGACATAGTTAAGAGAGCTGAGTAGCGTCCACCATGTTAGAAGTCACTGCATCTTGAAAGGGAGTCCACTCTAACTCTACAGATGCAAAGTCCCCATGTTCAGACTAAGCTCTCCAAATGTAAATTTTAATAATATATGTACCATAAAAAGTTATTCTCATAATTTCTAAACATGGAGAAGTAATCATTAAAGAAAACACTATACATTTAGCACTGCAAAGAGGAACATTCAAGACAGACTCACGTCAAAATCCAAAATTCAGCAGTAAAACATATCATCAAAATTCTGTATAAAGCTTTTTGCAAAGGACTCCTTGTCTTGTGGAGACACGGGTAGTTAGGGCTAGGAAAGGGACAAATGTGAGAGCC